TTTTATGTCTGTTACTGTTTGTCTTATGTATTGAGGTGCTCCTATGTTGGGTGCATAGATATTCACAAGCATTATGTCTTCCTCTTGGATTGACCCCTTGATCATTAGGTAGTGTCCTTCCTTATCTCTTGAAATATTCTTTATTTTAAGGTCTATTTTGTCTAATGTGGGGATTGCTACTCCAGGTTTCATTTGCTTTCCATTTGTATGGAATATATTTCGCCATCCTCTCACTTTCAGTATATATGTGTCTTAAGGTCTGAAGTGGGTTTCTTGTAGACAGTATATATATATATAGGTCTTGTTTTTGTATCCCTTCAGCCAGTCTGTGTCTTTTAGTAGAGCATTTAATCCATTTACATTTAAAGTAATTATTGATATATATGTTCCTATTGCCATTTTCTTAATTGATAGAGGTTGATTTTGTAGATCTTTTTCTTCTCTGGTGTTTCTTGACTATTTAAGTCCCTTTAACATTTGTTGTAAAGCTGGTTTGGTGGTACTGAATTCTCTCAACTTTTGCTTGTCTGAAAAGCTTTTGATTTCTCCATCAATTTTGAATGAGGTCCTTGCCATGTAGAGTAATCTTGGTTGTAGATTTTTCCCTTTCAGTACTTTAAAAATATTCTGCCATTCCCTTCTGGTCTGCAGAGTTTCTGCTGCAAGATCAGCTGTTAAACGTATGAGGTTTCCCTTGTATGTTACTTGTTGCTTTTCCCTTGCTGCTTTTAATATTCTTTCTTTGTGTTTAATCTTTGTTAGTTTGATTAGTATGTGTCTTGATGTGTTTCTCCTTGGGTTTATCCTGTGTATGGGACTCTTTGTGCCTCTTGGACTTGATTAACTCTTTCCTTTTCCATTCTGGGGAAATGTTCAACTGTAATCTCTTCAAAAAGTTTCTCATATCCTTTCTTTCTTTCTTCTTCTTGGACCCCTATAATTTGTATGTTGGTGCATTTGATATTGTCCCAGAGGTCTCTGAAAGTATCCTCAGTTCTTTTCATTCTTTTTACTTTATTCTGCTCTTCAGGAGTTATTTCCACCATTTTATCTTCCAGCTCACTGATTCATTCTGCTTCATACATTCTGCTATTGATTCCTTCTAGAGTATTTTTAATTCCAGTAATTGTGTTGTTTGTCTCTATCTGTTTGTTCTTTAATTCTTCTAAGTCTTTATTAATTGATTCAGGCATTTTCTCCATTCTATTTTCGAGGTTTTTGATCATTTTTACTACCATTATTCTGAATTCCTTATCAGGTAGTTTGCCTATTTCCTCTTCATTTATTTGGACTTCTGTGAAAGTTTGTTCCTTCATTTGTGCAGTGTTTCTCTGCCTTTTCTTTCTTTTTTTTTTTTTTTAATTATTATGCTTGAGGTTTCCTTTTCCCAGGCTTCAAGGTTGAATTCTTTCTTCCTTTTGGTTTCTGCCCTGCCTCCCATGGTTGGTGCAGTGGTTTGTGTAAGCTTCATATAGGGTGAGATCTATGCTGCTTTTTTGTTGTTTGTTTGATTTTCTTCTGATGGGCAAAGCTGAGTGAGGTGGTAATCCTGTCTGCTGATGATTAGGTTTATATTTTTGTTTTGTTTGTTGTTTGGATGAGGTGTCCTGCAGAGCTCTCACTATTTGATACTCCCTAGGGTTTCTCTGGTAGTCTAGGGTCTTGGAGTCAGTACTCCCATGCCAGAGGCTCAGGGCTTGATCTCTGGTCAGAAACAAAGATTCCACAAGTGGCTTACTATGGCAATAAATGAGATTAAAGCACATACCTAAAAATGAGAAACCAAAGATGAACCCCAGACAAATGAAAGTTACAGAATCAGGTAAATAATAATTTAAATGATGGACTATACACATATACATATACATCCATAAGCAAAATCAAGAGAGTCCAACAAAAATAAAGTACGATCAATTGACCCAGAGAACAAAGGAAACGAAAAATTATATCTACCAGTTAAAAACAAAACTAACTAAAGCACAAACTGGAAAACAAAACTAAAGCAAGGTGCCAAGTGGGGAATAAAGCAATGAAAACAGAACTAACAAATATGTTAAGAGGAAAGGAAAGAACGAAAGAATAGATATGCAAAGTTAAATAGATATAGATGAAGAAGATTTCTATACATTAAAGATTAACTGCAAGGGGAAAAGAACAGTAGGAAAAGCAAACAAAGGAAGGTTTTAAAAAATTAAAAAGAAAAAACAAAAAAAGGAAAACTCAACAGAACGGCAAAAGCCCAACATAGAGGCAGAGGTTTATAAGAACAGCAAAAAGTGTGACTGGAAAAAAAAAAACCTCTAAAGCTTAATTAAATTTCATAGTACCAATAAAATTAACAACTACAATGGGGATGGGGGGAGGGGGGAGAAAAGATCCAAAAGAAACCACAGAACAAGTCAAAATATAAGAATAATAAATGTTTTTCTTGAGTCACTGCTATCAGGATCCTTTCCTTCACTTCGAGTCACAGTCCACCTCACCTCCCTAGGATGCCCCCCAACACTGTGCTGGTCTCTGGACCCGCTGTGGGAGCAGTTCAGATTCTAATTGGTCCTACTCCTGTGTGTTCTTGCCTCCAATGTCCACAGCTATCAGAGCTAGTGTGTTTTCTTTTGTGGGAGCTCTCAGTGTCCTTTTATATATTCCATAGACACAGAGTCTGCGTAGTTTATTGTGTGGACTTAATCTGCAGCTTATATAGCTGGTGAAAAGGTTTAGGGTCTTTTCCTTAGCCACACTGCTCCTGGGTTTCAGTTGTGGCTTCATTTTCACCTCCGCATATGGGTCATCCACTGGGATTTGCTCCTGAGAGTGCCCTGGAGGACTTGGGTTTGTCCCATTGAGGGCCAGGTGTGGAGGTGGTGCAGCTGCTTGGGTCACAGGGGTTCTGGCAGCACCAGGTACTCAGGAGAGTTAGCGGCTAGGGCAGCAGGAAATACAGTGTTCTAGAAGAGTATGGCAACCAGTATTGTCCAATACACTCCAGTATTCTTGCCTGGAGAGCCACCTGATAGAAAAGGCTGGCAAGCCACAGTCCACAGGGTCACAGAGAGTTGGACATGACCAAAGGGACCCCATGTGCATAGACACAAGACTTTTTTAGCCTGTGACAGCTCTGCCCCAGTGAGGGGTGAGCATGAAGGTGGCAGAGCTGCTTGGGTTGTGGGGACCATGGTGGTGCCAAGTGTGCAGGGATACGGACTGCCTCAGCCACTGGTGTATTGGCCCTATCAGAGTCTTTTTTCGAGCCTCTGGTACCTGACCATCAGAAGGCCTCTTCAGCTAGTCTTTGTCCATAGCTCAGCCCGTTCAGGCACTTAGAGGGCTCCCTTGCCTGGGGTCCTTCTCTGTTGTTCCATTCATCAGGCAGATAGGAGGCCCCTCTCCCAGTGCCCTGCCTTCCGGCCCCCCGCTGGGGACCTACTCTGTAGATCAGCAAATCAGGCACTTAAAGGTGGGTGGGGTCCTCCTCTGTAGTTCCCTGCCTCAGGTGCTTAATGGGTCAGCCTCTCTATTGTTCAGCTGCCCATGCTGGTGTGTGGGGAGAGAGAGGCTATGGTGATGGCTCCATCCCCTATGCATGAATCAGCAGTATCGCCTTGCTTCCATGTCTGCGTGGCATTCCTCCACAGGCATTTCCCACCACAGTCTCCTCCCTCACATCCCCTCATCCATCTCTCCACAGCAGCCCTTGCCTGGGATTGCTCCACAATCCCTAAGCTCCAGCTCCCAGCCACTGCGCCTTCTAGGGGACTTGCATCCCTGTCCAGGATATGTATGGCTGCGGCAAGAACTGTCTGATTCTCATTCTATTCAGGCTACCACAGATCAACTGCTTCACACTCATTCTTAAATGTTTCTCTTCTGACTCAGACAGTTGCCCCGCTGTGGGGATTGAACCCCTGTTTCACTTCCCCCATGCGCTGAGGGCAGGTCCAGTCCTACTAACACTCCAGTTTTTCCCCCTCATTCCTTTGTTCTATGGAGTTCTGTGTGGTTCCATATATTCTTTTCCGCTGGTCAGGTCCTCCTGTCCGCTCTCAGATGGTGTTCTGTATGCACTTCTGTGTCTGAAGGTGTATTCCTGATGTATCTGAGCAGAGAGATGTACTCCACGCCCACCTACTCATGTGCCATCTTGTTCCTCTACAGAGTGACTTTTTAAAAAACATCACCTCATGTAACTACTATGCTCAAAACCCAAAATGTAATTCTCCATTTCTCTCAGAGTAAAGTCCTTTCAAAAATCTACATGACACAGACCCCCACTCTGTCCTCACAGTGGGGACACATGGCCCCACTGGCTCTCTGGCCTTCTCTTCAGCTCCTCTCTCCCCAACTCACTAAACTCCACCCACATCAGCTGACTTGCTGGCCCTTAAATGTTACATGAATGCTCATACTTCCTTGACTAGCATTTTCTGTTCCAGAGAAACGCAGGGAGCACTATCTCTATGCTTCAAGGCTCTTTCTTGTACAAATGAGAAGTTGTGTGGGATGAAGTATAGCTGGCTCCTCTGCCTAACAGATATACAGAAATGAGAGAGGTTGTGTAGAAATATCTCTTACAGGCACTTACCCTTTTCTAACGGCTAAATATTCCTGACTTGTTCACAGTCTCAGCCTCCACTAGACTATCAACTCAATAATTTGTCATTTTAATTAATATCTACTGATAAAACAATTTCTAGGCAGACAATTAAGAAATTAAGTGAATAAGATTTGCTGCCTTACAGTAAGCAAAATATAATGCTGGATTTGTAAGTCATATTTTTAACTTACCAAAATTATTATACTAAGTTAAAAAATAAGTATACAACCTGCAGATTGAAGATTCCTTCTCTTCGTAAATAAAACCTCACATTTGTATAGGAAAATGCACCAAAGTATTACTAAAATGGCTAGTCACAGCTTATTTTTATTTTTGATCCTTTGCCTTCTATTTCCTAATTTCCTGTAATTTGTATGTATTACCTTAATTATCAGAAAGAAAGAAGTATTCTTACTTTGAAGTCTTTATTGTTTCATAAAGTGTTAAATGTTTTAAAAGGAAAAGCAAGCTTTCAAAACTTCAGACACCTCATTTAAGCACCTCCACCAAGAACAAAAATCTTCTTCACCACACTAGAAGCAAGACATTCTCAAAGAACCACGGTGAGAGCTGAGAGTCAATATTCTTCAGAGAATGGATAATCAGGGTGACCAACACCACTGAAAGAGAAGGAGAAGGATTCACTTATTAAATCAGTCATGTTGTCATAGAGAACATTATTCTGTGAATGTGGTCAGGATGGGATAAAACTCTAAATCTACAAGAAGGTCCCTCCTTCTCCCCCAACAAACACAAATGCAGATGCCTGCTCCATGTGCACACAGCACCTGCATGTTCAGGTTCAACATTCATATGTAATATTCACTCTACAATGACAGGTAATTTGACTCAGGTTATAATTTATATGAGAACACAAGACATAGGACTAACTGTGGGGATCATTTCAGACACAGGTGGAACTTCTGTCCCTAGATGATGAGAAGAGTCACAGTGAACAAATTAGCTGCTCTTTTTCACACATTCATGGATAAGCAGATACTGAGAACCCCCCAAAATACAGGGTGTCTCCATTAAGGAATTTTTCATCTGTTGAAGAGATACCACGTACACCTCAATAATCGCACAGTACAAAGTGAGATCATTATTTTCTTACTTTATAATATATTAAAACACTGGTTATTCAGCAATTAGTATCACTGCTCTTTTCCTTTTTTCCATATTTGTGCTTTTCATTCTAATGTGTCCTTTTAAATTCAATTCATTATAAAGTGCATTTTTAGCAATTCCATGTTCCAGGAGCTGTGCTATTCAGTTGAGCCCACAAAGATAGGCACTCACGGCCTAATGATGGAGAACATAGAATTTAAAAGCCTTTGAGAACTTAAAAGCCTTTGAGAACTTAAAAGTCTTTGAGTAGAGAAGAGGAGCTTTCCATGTTTTTTCCATGTATCATATCTTTTCTTAGAATCATGATATAGCTTTGCAACAACAGGGGCAGTTTTGAGATCTTTCACTGAAATTAAATCTTCATTTTGCCAATAATTTGTATTCTCATTTCTCACAACTCCCTTTCAAATTTCTATTCTGTCTCTTTGATCCTGATCGCCTTCTTCAGTAGTTAGGCAGCTGGAGTTGGATGATAGTGACTAAGTCAAAGTCCAGGTGATAGGGGCTTCCAAAGGGATGTACCCCTGATGGACAGAAGCTACAGTGGGGTAAGTGTTGACTCAAAAAATCCAACACCCTGCCGATCTTACCTGGGTATGTCCTGCTAAGGATGCAGAAGTCATTCACTGGAGGGTCAGTTAATGACCTACTTGTAATTCAGTCTTGTGAAATTATAAGGATGAGGAAATGGGAGTTGGAATAGGGGAAAAGGCCAATGAAGAGATCAATTTGAAATAAATGGATAATGTCTTGGAGAAGAAATGCCCATTAGGGAGAAAACCCATCAGACCCTTAGGGGAGGGGGTGGAAGTAGGTCCCCTGTGACTTCGGACCACTGATGCACATTGGCCTGCCTGGATCCCCTCCAGAAGAACATTAACATAACATTTCACAATTGTACATGGGCAAACATCAACGCAGCCTTCCCAGGTTGTTCAGTGGTAAAGGATCCCACTGCCCAGTCAGGAGACATGGGTCCAACCCCTGGGTTGGGAAGATCCCTTGGAGAGGGAAATGCCTGGGAAATCCCATGGACAAAAGAACCTGGTAGGCTACAGCCCATGGGGTTGAAAAAGAGTCAGACAGGACTTTACAACTGAACAACAAAAAAACATGAATGTAATGCATGATGGATTCATTATTATACAGCAATTATTAATATAATCATTTTCCCTTGATACAAAAAGAATTAAAGATGAAACATGTTCACAGGTCCCTGAAAGAATAGTGGGCTACAGGCACTATACACTTTGTGTTTCCTGGGTCCCTCTGCCCTGAGAGGAGATACACTAGGGATAGCAATTAGGGACACAGTGTAGTGAAATCACCATGATGTCAAATCTGGGGGTTCTACTGATGGGCTGTCCTGGGCCCAAGTCACATTTCTGTTGGTCAGAGATGGAGCTCTGGAGGAAACCTCTGGTCTGAGGTCTGTAGGAAGCCCCTGGTTTACTCCTACACTGAAAATCAGGACTCTCTTCCCAGAATTAAGTTTTTGAAAAGCTTTTCCTCCTGCTGACCTGCATGCTACAGAAAACAGTGTATGTGTGAAATATCTGCAAGTCACTTACAATAGTATCTCGTTATATCTTATATTTCTGTTGATGCCATCAATTGCTTTCATGTCTTCTGGACTCAGTTCAAAGTCAAACACCTGGAAGGAAGGAACAATCACATTAACCTCTCCCCAAGGAGAGAGCGTCCCTGCTGGGGACTGGAGGACTTTCCAGCTGGATAAAGACACGAGGAGGGGACAGGGAAGCCATGTCTGTCCTCAGCTTCCAGGTGAACAACCTGGGACCCTCTGCTGAGTTCTCACCTCTCCTTCCCACACCCTCTCCTTCTCTGTCCACCTCACAAACATTACAGCGCATCAGTCCCTTATCTTTCTTAGTGAATCACTTGTGACAGAAAACAAACTAAAATCTTCTTTTTCCAAACACATTGCCTTTGGACACTCCTGACTCAATACCTCAACCTGAGCTAACATTAAACTGATTAACTCTCCCCAGCATGCTCTAAGGGTGACAACATTCAGCTGAAGCATTGTGGGAAGGAGGCTCCCTGTGAAAGCCTATTCAAGACTCTGACATCAAACTATTCATTATCTATGACTGAATCTAACAAAAACTTTATGTAAATGCATTTGTGGAGAAAGTTATGAAAAATGTTTAACATTAAAGAACACCTAGATAATTAAAAATTCATATCATATTCATGAAATGGAAAGCTCAATTTTGTAAAGAAATTCATTTTCTCCAAATGATCTAGTGTTTCAGTGCAACATGATCCAAAGACTTGAGCATGTATTATTCCCCAGAAGTTGGTAAAGTGATCCTAAATTTTCAATAAAAGAGAGTTAAACAAAAGCAGTCAGGACATTCTTAAAAAATAAAAAATTATCATTCTGAAAAGCATACTTAGTTTCCACTTTAATAACATGTTGCAGAAAACAGAATAGTTAAATAGAAGAGAGACACTAGAAATGTACTTCTGGACACTTGATATATGACAGAGTTGACAATGAAAATCTGTGAGGAAATATGGAACTTTAGGTTTAAATTTAAATATACCTAAAGGTGTATGTATCTATTTTCATATTATCTTAGATAATCAGTTCCAGCTAGATTACAGAACCAAATTTAAATGGAAACACGGAAACAATTGATCAGGGGACAATTTCCATTCCCCTTGACTTGGCCTGACCTGTAACCTATGGCATTGAACAGTGATATTTCTCAGAAGTGCTGAGCCAGATCTGAGCCCAGACAGGAAGAGGATTTTTTCCCTAATCACTGACTTGGGATCACAGCACTGTGCTGAGACAAAGACCAAGTCAGTTGACCACACTCTAGCCAAACATACATGAAAAACTATGCAGAGTAGCGTGCAGGCTCCTCTAACAAGAGCCACATCCACCTGCTAAAGCAGAACTGCCAAGCTGCTCTGTACTGAACTGCAAATGATTGAGAGAGCCCAGCCAAGAGGACAACAGCTTAGTTGAGTGTGGGCTGATTGTCAAACCACAGAATCAAGAGAATCATAACTGATCTCTACTTTAAATCCTGAAACTGAAGAGTTTTCTGTGCAGCTACACTAAGGGGACAATATTCATCTCCTACACAGAAGTCGAAATAGAAACAACCTAGCTAAAGTGGACAAAGTCTTGAAGAGGAGCTGCTCAAAGGCAGAAACTCATGGAAATTAAATGTATGAAGATGAAACCTTGTTAGTATTCAGGGAAATACTCTGTACTCTCCTCCACCATGTTAAGGTACAAGGAGAAGCTTGTGACCTGAAGGAGGGCCCTCACCCAACCACACAAGTCCCCTGACCTCAAGGCTCCAGCTTCATAAATGTGAGAAAGAAATTTCAATTTTTTCTCAGCCACTCAATCTGTGGTATTTTGTTGGAGCAGTCCAAACAGCCTAAAAATTCACAATTTCATCAATTGAGAACAAAGAAAATAAGATGTCATTTGCACAAGGTGACAAATAAATTGCAGAAGTAACACTGGAAATAAATCTCTGTTATCTGCCCAACCTTGGCTCAGATGGTAAAGAGTCTGGCTGCAATGCAGGAGACTCCAGTTCGATGCCTGGGTTGGGAAGATCCCCTGGAGGAGGGCATGGCAACCCACTCCTGTATTCTTGCCCAAAGAATCCCCACGGACAGATCAGCCTGGCAGGCTACAGTCCATGTGGTCACAAAGAGTCAGACAAGACTAAGCAACTGAGCACACACATCTGTCCAACGTTAACCCTCTCCAGCCATGCCACCTTTCCTGTTGCCACGTCAAGAGGAGAAAACTACCAGGAATACACACAAAGCGTTCATGCACAGGGAAGAACAGTCTTGAGAGATGGACAAAGAATGACCCTCGTGAAGGATATTCCTTAGGATCCCTCTGACCACAGCCCCGCTCATCATCACCTGTATGTTCTCTTTGATCCGCTTCTTGTTGTAACTCTTGGCCAGAACCACAACCCCACGTTGTATCTGGTAGCGAAGGGCAACCAGAGCTGGGGTCTGCTTGTTCTTTTTGGCAATGGCACAAAGAACCGGATCCTCCAAGAGAACGGGGTGGCTCTGGTTAATCCTGGAAGGAAATTCAGAAATGCTGAGGAGCTGAGACTAAATTCTCAGTTTCTAAAGAGGCTTCTCAAACAGACCAAGTAAGTCCACTCTAGACCAGTGCTTGTCAAAGTGTGGTCCAGGGACCAGTATCATCAGTATCATCTGGGATCTTGTTAGAAATACAAATTCCATGACTTAGTTGAAGACAAACTGAATCAGAACCTCAACTGGGTCACATCCCATTCTGTGTTTACAAAGTTCAGCATGTAATTCAGATTCATGATTGAGTTGAATCCAGGACTGCAAACTCGTGGAATTTTTCCTTTACTCCTCAGAGATTGTTTTTCTTTGATAATCAAGACCATGAGTAGAAAAAGAGAAGAAAAATACCAGAAAATTTTGTAATGTTACTTTTCTAAGCTTTGATAAAACCTGAGTAGTCCCAGAATGACAGTCATTTATTTCATCATTATTGTCCTACAGATGTTTACATAATTGGTTCAAATTGAAATTTTTTCTAGCATGACAGACCTAGGAGTTATTATTGTCCCAACTTTAGACATAAGGTAAGTGAGGTTTGGATCATCTATTTTTAGAAATGCGTTCATTAGTTAATAAGCAAAATCATGACATAAGCTTGGGTTTCTGGTCTCAATTGGGAGATTATATACAGATTTTAATGTAATTGATGAATCTACAAGCAGGAGACCTGGGTTGATCCCTGAGTCAGAAAGATCCCATGGGGAAAGGAATGGCTACCCACTTCTGTATTCTTGCCTGGAAAATCCCATGGACAGAGGAGTTTGGTGGGCTGCAGACTATGAGGTCACGAAGAGTCAGACATGACAAGAAACACCTTTTTCACACAAGCTAATACAGTGTAGAGAAACTGTCTGGGTGATGAGAAGATAACAGAGAAGAAATCAGTCCATCCTTCCCCTTTCTTCCCCTGCCTATGAGAGTTATCTCCTGACCACTGAGTACCGTATGATTTAAACCATTTCATCAAAAACTGAATTTTAGGTAAACACCGTGTTGTCTTTCTTAGGGTTCATTACCATCCTTTTACTCTTTGGGATCCCAGAGCACTATAGGCAACAAGAACAATATCATGTGACTTGCAGAAATCCAACAGTTTACTCTGGTTGAGATAAGGGTGACATTCCACCTGTAGAATGCCAACAGAGAAGAGTGTCAGATTATATGAAAAAGTAATATTAATACAACAGAGAAAATTAAAAGTTTAAAAAAATGCTAAAGGAAAAACTATAACTTAAATTAAACTTGAAATATCAACATCAAGATAAAAATAGACAAAAGTGTGCTTAAAAGTTAATTTTATAATAGACATGGATGACAGAACCATTCCAAGCTTGAGTAATCACAAGGTGAGCTCTACATATGAGTAAATGTTTCTGAGTAAATATTTTATTGAGTGTTAATATCACCATGAGCCTTTAACTTCAGCCTTTCAACTGGATGACTTTCATAGTTATCAGCATATTTTCAGTGCTGAAGACCCAGAAAAGCTGAAACACTAAGATAAAGATTCAGCCATCCAAACCCCACACAGATTTTAAACCAATATTATCTGATTTATCTTTCTTTACACCCCATGTCATGTTTTCGTGGTCCTCCTTCCTGTCCACAGTTCCCTCCCAGGCACTTTCAACATCCATTTCTGGACACCCTTTAGGCTCAGGTAAACACCACCTTCCTCAAAGTTCTGGGTGACTAGTCAAAACCTTCTTCACCTCCTTTACCTTTCCTCAGTCTCCACCACAATTTAGCAGGACCCCCTCCCCAGCTGTTCCACCCAGACTTTATCAAACAGAGATACCACTGTGGGTTTTATTCACAGAAGCTCTGCTCTCTAGAATATTCTGTTCACAAAGAATGATGAACAGGATGAACAGGAGGGGAGCACAGACAGACATCAGGCTCCAGTGCAAGAAGGAGGTTGTGAAGAGCAGGAGGGAAAGGAGCCAAGCTGCTCACCTGGTTGCAGACGGGCTTGTACTTGAGCCCTGGCTTGTTCAGGATCTTCTCCAGCTGCTTGTGGTTGAAGTTGGACACCCCAATGGACTTGGTCAGCCCTGCGTCCTTACACTTTTCCAGGGCCTGGGAGGGAGGGGTGGTGAGCAGTCATTTAGAATGGGCAAGAGCAAAAATAAATGCCGAAAAATTATCTGTCAATAGGGTCACCCATCAAGAATTAGCATTGATTATCAAGAGGAAAAAAAGAAGTTGTGATACAAAAACAACAAATACCATTTCCTCCTTAGAAAAATCCATGAGAAGACATATCATATGGAAAGAAAGAGATGCCTGTCTTCACTGTCCCATATTCTCCTCTTTTGTTCCTCTCTGTGAGCATTCCAGCAATGGTTTCCTCCCCAAAACACCAGCATCACAACCCTAAGATTCATGAACTGCTGAGTCTGATGATCCACAGCCCATTCTCACAGGTGGAAGAAATGAAAGAGGTTCCCCCTCTCCTGGCTCCTCCCCTGAGTTTCTTCTCCCCAGACTCACCTCCCACGTGCAACAGAGATCCACTGAGTCTAATATCACTTTTCCATTTTCATCTTTTGGAAGAAATTCCTCCCCTGGCTGGAATAGAAGCAGTCATTTTAGAGATGTCACAAAGTAATATCTCTACATTTAGCCTGGCTGCTTGGCACCAGGTAGTAAACCTTCATGAGGTAGGTGTTATAATATTCTGGATACTAGTATTTGCAAAGTGATTTGCATATATGGAGTTGTAAGCAATGTCTTTAGGAGGGAGGCTTATTCTAATCTCTTATATGTTGTAATAAGTATGTTTTTCTAGGTCCTCAAAGGAATTTCCCATTACTTTCGTGGATTTTGTCTGTTCCTTTTACTTGTCTCTTTTGAAATGCTTCTCTTGAGCTGGAAAAGGCAGTAAGTTACATGACATAATTTCCAGAATAAAAATTTCAATCTTGATATGACTAAATAATTAAACTTCCTTTTCCATCTGAGCATCAGATGCCCTAGGGCAGGCATGTGAACCAGCAAGGTTCTCTTTAGGTTGATATGGAATGTGGAAGATCCAGACATGCTCTCAAACGTTCATGACCATGAGCCTTGAGCTGCCCCAAGACCATATTTGCCACCAATCGAAAATGTCACCAATGTTCAGTAAAAATAAAGCAAATCATGAGTAATGCCATGATGTGTCTGTGTGCTAAGTTGCTTCAGTCGTTTCTGACTCTTTGTGTCCCCATGGACTGTAACCCACCAGGCTCCTCTGTCCACGGGATTCTCCGGGCACGAATACTGGAGTGGGTTGCCATTCTCTCCTCCTGGAGATCTTCCCAACCCAGAGATCAAACCCACATCTCCTGCAGCTCCTGCATTGCAGGCAGATTCTTTACTGATGAGCCACAAGAGAAGCCTCCAATACCATGATAAGAGATAGAAAAAATAGACATTTCTGAAGAGTACAGCAGATCCTTAAATCTATCCATGACTTGGACTTCCCATCTACATAGTCCTCTAAGCTATTTTGCATAGGATGGCTTGAGTAGAATTCTTAGCTTAAAATCAAGAGTTCTATATAACATAGTTTTTTGTTGTAGTTTCATTGTGGGTTTTTTGTTTTGTTTTTTTTGTCTCAGGTTTGTGGGATCTTAGTTCCCCAAACATGGATTGCACTCCTTCCCTCAATCCAACTTGCCTCAGCAGTGAAAGCATGGAGTCGGAACTACTGGACTGCCAGGATATTCTCATCTACATAATAATACAGTTCTTAAAGTCTAAGTGCAGTCTACAAACTTCATCATGAAGACAAGCAACAGTGTAGGCAAGGTTTCTCAAGTCCCTAGGATGTCTGCTAGTTTTAGACCCATCCAGATGGAGCACCACCAAATTTGCTCAACTCAAAAGGGTGAAAGAGGAGAAGAACTCATCACATTCAATGTAAGATTGTGTCATTGCTCATCATGGCTGCACCAAACTTCTGTTACATGAAATCCCTGGAGATTCAGGAGTCATATTCAGGACTGTGTGCAGAACTCAGCGATTTCTATTTCCTCAAGTTTTTAAGGCAGACACTGAGAGATTCTTTAACTCCTTTCTACAGGAGGTGTGTAAGGGATTCAAAGAAATTCAGTAAAAAGATGATCATGAATGATTATTAGGGGGATTCTACTCTAGTGAAACCCTCGCTACAACCTACTAAGACAAATCTTAATTCAACCATGCATACAAGTTGATACACACTCTAAAAAAAGAAGCAAAATAGAAGCGATCACACAAATTTCCAACCTTCATGGCCACTGGGAAATGAATGAGATAGAGATCAACATAATCCAGTTGAAGATCTTTCAGTGACTTTTCCAAGGCTGGTCGGACCAAATCTGGGTGAAGGAAAGTGCACCAAAGCTGTAGAGATTAAAGAATGGAAGCTGTGTTAATAATACTTCAGGGAATTTTTTTGGGAGGAGGGGGGCTTAGCACATGGCTTTTGGGATATTACTTCACTGACCAAGGATTGAACCTGGGGCTCATGGCAATAAAGCACTGAGTCTTAACCATTGGACCACCAGGGAATTCCAATACTTTAGGAATGTAATAATGAACATGGGTCACCAAACAACGATCCTATTTTACAATAGTCACCTGGGCACAATCAGTTCCCCACATGTGCACACACACAACACACACACAGCACCTTTGAAGTATAGAAAATCTCTTCTCTCTTCACAGTGCCATCTGCAATCTTGCTTTGAATGGCTTGGCCAACCTGCTCTTCATTTTGGTATACACGAGCACAGTCAATATGGCGGAACCCAACCTCTATAGCAAATTTGGTTGCCTCCAGAGCTTCACTCTTAGGTACCTACATGAGCAAAAAAGGTAGTACTTACATATTCACATGGTTAAAAGATTGCTAAAGCACAAGCTTTAATCTTCCCAAGATTCAACTTTTCTTTGGGTAGTTCTGTATGCATGGTGATGAACCCATGACAGTTTGCTGAACGTTCCTGGTCAGTAATTAAATGGACACCCAGGAACTCATCAACCCCAGGCAATTAGTGGTTGATCACAGGTATTAGAGGACCCAAAAGCCACCTCCAGGTTCAGTGATTTGCTGTTAGAACCCAATGTACTAAACATAAAGTTGTAGTCATGGATAGGATTTACCCTGTGAGATGTTTGAAGCAAAACTGACAAAGGTATGAGATGTATGGTAAAGCATCAAGAAACAAGCTGGAAGGTTCTATGACTTCTGGCTACCACTGAAGCCACACAGAATACACCAAAAAAGATGTATCTATTCAAGGTGTACAAAGTGATATTTTCATATAAGCGCATGTGTGCTTAGTTGCTTCAGTTGTGTCCAACTCTTTGCCACCTTATGGCAACTGTAGCCCACCAGGCTCCTCTGTTCAAGGGATTCTCCATGCAAAAATCCTGGAGTGGATGGCCATGTCCTCCTCCAGGGGATCTTCCCAACCCAGGGATTGAACCCTTAAACTCTTATGTCTCCTGCATTGGCAAGTGGGTTCTTTACAACCAGCACCAGATGGCACTGATGGTAAAGTAACGTAAGTACTGCTTATAATTACTCACTGTTATTGATTATCACAATCAAGCTACCAGGAGATCCATCACCTCACATAGTTAACTTTTGAGGGTGTTTGTGAGAACACTGAAGATCTGCTCTCTTAGCAAATCTCAAGATAGAATCCATTATTATTAACTGGAGTCACCGTGCTGAACATCAGGGGTCAAGACTTATTCGCCTCAAACTGAAGGTCTGTCCCTTTGACCAACATCTTTCCCTTTTTCCCAGCCTTATCCTCAACTTCTGGTCACCATTCCTTTACTCTCTTCTTCTGTGAGTTCCACTTTTTTAGATTTCACCCGTAAAGAGATAATGAAGTGTTTGTCTTTCTATTTCTGGCTTCTCTCATTTAACTTAGTGTTCTCCAGGTTGATCTGTGTGGTTGCAAATGGCAGGATTAACTTTGGTTTTAATGCTGCATAATACTCCATTTCTTTTTATGTGATTCAGAATCTTTCCTGTTTCAAGCAACTAGATGATTGGTCCAACTTCCCTCTGTTGGGTCTAGTCCTGGTTTTTCTTAAATACTCAGGTATTTGGGACTGTACCGAGGAATGAACCAATGAGCTTCAGTATAGCCTGGTCCCTTCCCTCCCCTCATCCCACTTTGCACTACAAGGAAACAGGCCCTGTCTTCTGTCTTGAAAGGGTCTCTGAATATTGCCTTCTGTTTTATAGATGAAGAAGTGAGACACAAAGTTTAAGGACCAGTCAGACCCTTATCACAGCTACATACTCTAAAGACCAGATGGACAGCAAACTTTCTGGCTTCTAGTCTAGAGACTTGTCCACTAGCCCCTCATGTCCAAGCACTGAGAACTATACTTTAATAATAAGACACTGCAAAACCCAAGAATACATTACAAAGCCTGGCCTGTAAGACTGTAGCTTATCCCCTCAAATGACACTAGAATTCCCATCAGAAGAAGTAGTCAACAGAAACAGAAGTACAGGGTAAAACACAGCTGGAGTGTGTCTGGCCTGGGACCAAGCAGACACCCCACAGTAGAAAAGCAATTTTCTCCCATTAGTTTTCAGCCATTTCATCTTCAGGACATTTTACCTCAAACATTTCTCTGGGTCATGTCTTTTTGGAAGGAGGAAGGAGTTCTGGAACTAACAAAATATACAGAGAAACCCAACCATTGCAATCCCCCTCAGAGCAAAGCAGCTTACAGTCAGTGTTCTCGACACCCAAGTCTCGCCTCTTCTACCGAGCTGGGGAAGAGATGGAAACTGGAGGGGAACCCAGAGTAATCTGCAGGTGAGCACAGCCTCAGACCCTGATGCAGAGTGGAGACTGGATGCTCTCTCCCTTTCACAGGGCATGGTTCTAGCCCCGTTAGTGAAACCACGGGACCCTCCCAGAATCACCCAAGAACTCGATGCTTGACAACCCAAGTCCCCTTCCTCTCATGTCACATCCACTACTATTTATATCTCAACCCCAAACCACTCCTCTTACCTCCTCAGGTGCATAGGTTCCAAATCCCAGGACAGGAATGAAGTGGCCATCATTAAGCTTCACCTTCTGGCTTTTGAGATCCATTGTCTGTTGCTCCTCTGACTAAGCAGAGTGATTTGATTTTTTTCTTCAACCTTCACAAATTATAAATAACAGAAAGGTAACACACCAACTGCACCATCCAATGTTAGCACATATATTATAGAAGGAGTAGGATTAAACCCCATACACATGGAGTAAGAAGAGGATTGAAGTGAGTTAAGCAACCTGTTTCCTTTTTTAATCCGTATAACCTTAAGTATTATGTAATGATGAGACTGGCTGAACAATTATTAACCATATGTCAAACTTCCACACAGCAACTGTTTTTCATTTTTCTATTATGAAGCCCAATCTCAATCAAACATCAATTGAAACAACTATCATTCAGAACAAACATACACACATACACAAATCACACAAAGTGTTTAATAAGCATTTTTTTAAATGTTACCTCTTAATAAAGAATCAAAACTTCAAATGAAACCAAATTTGCCTTTTTACATTTCCCACCAGCAAAGTTATTTGCTTTACAGATCTGACAGTGGTGAAATCCAGAACAGGATATGGAAACCAGACATTTTGGCAAAATACTTATTGGAAGTTAATTTTAATAGCTTTAGGATACCATGTGCAGTGTACAAACACTCTTGAGTGTTTATACCTTGTACCTACATATATAACTTCTAGAGTACTCTCATAATGTAACTGATAACATATTTTATATAATTTACTATCTTGTACATTATTCATAAAAGAAAAACCTATAAAAAATTGACAAATTTGGGACAGAAAAGGAAACTCTGATGCACTAACACTTGGGGATGTTGTGAAGACAAATAAAATTTAATACGTACAGTGATACCAGCAAAACGGTGAGCTAGGACGACTGATTTCTCCCTTAGAAAGGCAAGAAAAGAAAGAGAAGGCAGCTGAAAAACCTCATAGGAGTTCTGGGAAACAGTCACAGATATATAGCAACAAAGTGAACACACAACTAGGAAAAATCCAGACTAAAATGGTAGGAAATTTCACCATGTATTTACTCACACGTACTCTCCTCCTGCCTGGGGCAGGGCAGTCTTGATCAGCTCCCAGTTGCCTCCCTCAAACCAGAATGATCACAGAAAACCTTATCAGCAACCTACTTCGGGGCTGCCTGGAGACTGGTGTCTGTTTTACTGAGCTTAAACTGAAGAGCAGCTGGAATGGGTATTACAGCTGCAGGGGGGCTATATACGGGCCAGGGACAAAGGAATAAGGGTGGAGACATAGACTATATCATGTTTTAATAAAATCCTGAGTAGAACTGGGGTGTGGATTTGGGGAGATAGTAAGGCATTCAAAAACAGTCATAAGTACACTGGATTCAAAAAGCCACCCAGATGCTGACTCAGAAATGAACTGAATTGCCCTAAACTTTCCTGTTGGGCTGATACAAGGACTAAGAGCATGCCAAGCAAACTGGTGAAAGCCAATCAGGACAAGGAATCAAATCTACCAAGAGTGAGTATTTGCCCATTGTTTCAAGTATCCAACTATGAACACACACACACACACACACACACACACATACAGGAACACACACACACACAAACAGAGACACACACAGGAAGACACACACACAGGAACACACACACAAAGGAACACTCATACAGGAACACGCACACATCTGGATGGGGCAGGGCGGCCATCACAGAAGGGCCCGAGGAGCAGGGTCTGCGGCTCTGATGGTGTGCTGAGGTTTCACCACATGCACAGCCTCCCGCACCAAGGGCTGCTCCAGCACACCTTCCTCCAGCTCTGCCACCCTCTGGGACAAAGGAGCCAGTGTTGGGAGTGGGGGAGGAGGGGAGTGCACACTTATAAGGGGTGGAACCAAGTTAAGGCCAACCGTCAGGGCTTCTGTTCCAGCACCTTGGGACCCGCCCAGCCCAGTAGGGTGGGGACAGCCACAGAGCACTAGAGAAACCTGTGCTCACACTGGGCTCTGGCCCTAGCCTCCACTTCCCCCTCTTACCAACTTAAAAGTTGCCAGCAGGCCCTGGGAAGGGGTGGCTTCTGACCAGCTCAGCTCCAGCTCTGCCCCAAAGCCTGTGGGCACACAGACTGTAGAGACACATCTGCACAAGGACACCCCTACAAGACTAGAACAGGAAACTTTTTCAACTAATCTCATGGAAACAGAGGAAATTAAGCAAAATGAGAAGACAAAGGAATTTGTTTCAAGTGAAACAATAAGAAAAACACATGAAAAAATCTGCTAATGATACAGAGATTAGTAATTTACCAAAATAATCATTTACCAAAATTCAGAACAGTAAGAAGAATGCTTCCCTAACTAACATATAGAACACAGTAACAATCACATGATAGGGGTTTCAGGAGGAGAGAGAGAGGAAAAGGGACAGAAATGGATGTGATGAAATTATGGCTAAAAGCTTTCTGAACCTGGAACTTCCCTGGTGGTCCAGTAGTGAGGACTCTGTGCTTCCACTGCATGGGGAGTGGTTTTGAGCCTGGTCAGGGAACTACTTAACAAACGTGGTTAAAATCATGAGATGGCAGATGTTCCTGGAGTACCTGGATCACGCTGGTGTAATCACAAAGTCCTTATACATGGGACCTGGGAGGGTTGTAGTTGAAGAGGAGGTGGAAGATAGGATTAGATAAGAGAATCAAAGATTCTCTATCTATGCGCTATCTGAGATGGCAGGAGAGTCTCCAAGATGGAAAATGAAGTGTTCTCTAGGAGCTGGAAGAGGCAACAAAATGGATTTTCCCCTGAAACCTCCAGAAAAGAATACAGGCCTGCTGGCACTTTGATTTTAGCCCATTGAACCAGCTTTTGAATTTCTGACCTCCATAAATGTAAACTAACACGTTGGTGGTGTTTCAAGTCACAAAGGTTTCAGCCATTTGTTGGAGCACCAACAGTAACTAATACAGATGTGGTTCAAGTCATCCCACCTCCATCTGCTTCATCATAGGTTTTCCTCTCTCTGGGGGCTGTTCCTCTGATCTCAGAGGCAGGTGGTCAAGAGGAAACCTCGTCTCTTGATTCCATTTTCATCTTCAGCGACTGCCAAATTCCTTGGTCCTCATTACAGAAAAGTCTTTGAAAACTTGGCACCATTTCTTGAAACCACTCTACTCAGGGTTTGCCTTCACCACTCTATCAAAGCTGCACTTGACCTTGCCAAGGTTAACTGCCCAATTCAGTGGTCAGTTTCAGTCTTCTTTTACCTGTCCCTTTGGAAGCATTGAACTCTTTTTTCCTTCAAGCATCTACTTCACGTGCCTTCTAAGAACAACCTCTCCTGCCTCGTTCACCTCTTCTTCTCTGCCTCATTTGCTGATTACTCCACTTAAAAAGAATGCCTTCTTAATGCTGGGTCTTCATGAAGCTTGACTTCTCTGTCTACACCACTCACTGTTTAATATAATATCTCTGATGGTCTACTTTCATGACATTAGGTGGCAACTAAATTTGATAAGTCACAAATATAAATATTGTCTAAACTTTTCCTCTAATAGACTTCTATGTCCAACTGTATGCATGCATCTTCACTTGGGTACCTAAAGGCATCTCAAAGATACAGATCTATAATTGAACTCATAATCTTCCCACAAAAGTGTGCTCCCCACATTGTCTCCATCTGAGAAAATGGCATCTCCTTTTCCTGTTCCTTAACTACAAACACCTGGAGTCAGCTTTGATTCCCCTTTACCTCTCATTGTATGTCTAACATGCCAGACAGTCTAGTTAATGCTGCCCCTAAAATATATCCCTATTCTAATACCTCTGACCACATTTACTGCTCCTTCTGTGGTCCAAGCCAATGTCATCTCTCACCTAGATTCCTGTAGAGTCCTAAAAGAGGGCTCTTTTTCCTCTTTTGCTTCTCAACAACCAGAGTGATTCTTTAAAAAAACATGTTAGTCAGCTCATGTAACTACTATGCTGAAAACCCAAAATATCATTCTCCATTTCTCTCACAGTAAAGCCCTTTGGAAAGCCTACATGACACGGACTCCCTAGCCCCACTGGTTCTCTGGCCTTATCTTCAACTCCTGTCTCCCCACCTCACTAAAGTCCACCCTCATCAGCCGACTTGCTGTCACTTCAGTGTTACGTGAATACTCTTTCTTCCTGGACTTAGCGTTTTCTGTTCCAGAGCAATGAAGGGAGCCACTGTCTCTATGTTTCAAGGCTGTTTCTTGTACAAATGAAAAGTGTGGGATGAAGAGTATCTGATGGCTCTGCCTAACAAATGTACAGAAACAGGAGAGATTGTGCACAATTATCTCAACAGGCCCTTACCCATTTCTAACAGCTAAATTCTCCTGATGTCATTCACAGTTTCCTTCTCCACTAGACTAATGATTCAAGACATTTCTCATTTTACTTATTGATATTTACTGATAAAACAATGTCTTACGAAAGAATGTTCAATCAAGTTTTGATGACTGAACAGCAAAATGCATAAGGACTCATCAAAATGCTGAATATGGTAGACAAATAAGAAATTACATAAATGAGTAAGATGTGCTGCTTTACAGGAAGCAAAATATAACACTGCATTTTTAAATCCTATTTTTAGCTTATCAAGATACTTATGTTAAGAATATGTAAACAGCCTGTGGATTGAAGATTATCTCTATTTGTAAATAAAGACACACACATACACATTCGCCTAAGAAAAGCATAAGGACACTGCACCAGAGTTTTGTTGTTGTTCAGCCACTCAGTCCTGTGACTCTTTGCAACCCCATGGACTGCAGCATGGCAGGCTTCCCTGTCCTTCACCATCTCCTGTAGTTTGCACTAAAGTTAAGTATTATTAAATGGATTAATCACAGCTTATCTTTATTTTCTATTCTTTCCCTTCTACTTTCCAAATTTTCTGTAATTTACCTGTTATATTTTAATCATCAGAAAAAATGAGTATCCTTACTTAGAAGTCTTATATTTCATAAAATGCTTTTTTAAAAAATAGAAAGGCAAGCTTCCAAAAGTTCAGACACTTCATTTAAGCACCTCCTCTATGTACAAAAACCCTCTTCACAGCCCTAGAAGCCAGAAATTTTTGAAGAACCGCAGTGAGAGCTGAGAGTCAATATTTCTCAGAGAATGGGTACTCAGGGTGACCGACACCACTGGAAGAGAAAGAGGTGGGTTCATTTATTAACTCTGTCATGTTGTCAAAGAGAGGCTTTATCTGAATGCAGTATGGACAGACTAAAAACTCTAAATTTACAACCATGTCCTGCCATCTCCCCCACCAAGCACACACATGTGGGTGTCTGCTCCATGTGCACACAGCACCTGCATGTCCAGTCCCAACATTCTGTGTAATATTCACTCCACAGTGACAGGTAGTTTGATTCAAGTTACAATTTATAAGAAGGCGCAAGACCTAGGGCTAACTGTGGAGATCATTTCAGCCCCAAGTAGAAGTTTTGACCCTAGATGATGAGAAGGATCACAGTTACGGAATTTGCTGCTATTTTTCATGCATTCATTCAAAAAAAAAAAAATATTCAGCACCCCTAAAATACAGGGTGTCTCCAGTAAGGAACTTCTAATCTATTGAAGAGATACCACATACACTTGAATTATCATACAACATAAATGGGATTATTATTTTCTTAATTTATAGTTTAGTAAAACACTGGTTATTCAGTAATCTGCATTACTAAAATGAAGACTTAGTTTGCATTTAGATTGCAAACTAAATCATTTTATTACTAATTCTTGTTCCCTTTTCTCTGAACATATTTTCTGCAGGCAGTTTAAAGTCAAACACCTGGAAGGAAGGAAGAATCATATCAACCTCTCCCTCAAGGAGCCGGCCTCTCCCTGGGGACTGGAGGACTTTCCAGTTGGATGGGGACAAGAAGAGGGGACAGGGAAGCCGTGTCTGTCCTCAGCTTTCAGCTGAACCAGCCTGAGACCCTCTGCTGAGTTCTCATCTCTCCTTCCCACACCTTCTCCTTCTCTGTCCACATCAGCAAAGAAAGGCTTGCCATGAATCAATCCCAAACGTTTCTAAGGGAATTGCTTTAGACAGAAAGATCCTTTTTTTCCAGATAAAGAGATAGTTGGACCATCTGGACAGTCTACCTGCACTTGACCAAACTTTACACAGGTTTTTCCTTTCACACGTCCCTCTAGAATTTGGCACAGCCTTGAACTTAAGCAAGCTGGTGGAGAGAGCGACCTCCCTGTCAGGCCCCTCCAATGCTCTGCTGCCCTCAGGAAAGAGCTCTCCCAGATCAGTCACAGCCCCTGCTTCTCCCACCCCAACACCCTTCCCCTTCTAGTTGTGTTCACCCTTCCCCAGAAAAGTCTTTCCATTAATCTCTGAGATGCCTCTGTCACAGCCATCACCTCCTCCTAGAAGAACCTGCTCTGTTCCCACCTGGTTTCCATCAGCACTGTGAATACTTATCCTAAAAGCATGAGCTCCAGCCCATTTTCTTTACAATGCCTATGACCTTGCCAGGTGAGGTTAATCACTTTCTCTTGTGTGCCCTCA